TCGTGTTAGCCATGGCGATCACCTCGGTGCCATCCCAATTGTCCTGAAAGTTTGCAACTCGTGTTGGGAAGAAGGGCAATTTGATGTTCTTTTTTCCATTGGGAGTCCGCTGAGGCGCGTAGCATCCCTTATAGTAAAATAAAGTAATTTTTTGTTTGCGAACCACTTCTTCAGACACACTGACCAAGATATGCTTAAGGCATATGAGTAAAAGATGTGAGACTGCAAATAGCGCTTTTCTTGATCTCGAAAGCCTGCTGAATTCAGGACCAATACGCATTCATTGGCGACGATGGCACGATGGCACGATGGCTTTTCATTCGTTTAATTACCAATAATGTCGACTGATAGAAAAGGCTTGCACCGTCTCCCACTCGTGGAAGCAACAGACCATCCACAGCTTATCAGTTAAGTGTCTATACTTCTGACGGTTCAATCATTCTATATTCCAGAAGGGACGCTTTTTGTCATGCGTATTCAGAGGAAATTCGCCACCGGATAATGTGGCCTCCTTACCCATATTTTTTCTATTCTGGTAGTCAACTTCGTAAACTTTGCAATAATCCTAGAATTCATTCTTACTGCATACTTGTCTTTTTCACCTAGTCTGCCCTCCTCCCGAAACAAACTACGCCGGCCGTTTCGTGTATCAGCACCCATTGGTTAACAACGATGACAAAACAGACGAGTACGAAGACGAGAAATTAAAATCTTGGGAGGAATATTTCTCAACGTACGGCAGTGGACGAACAATGTACACCGTCGGGCAGCTAGAAACCTTAGTTATGAGAGGGCTACCCCACAGTCGACGGGGTGAGCTCTGGATGCTGTTTAGCGGGGCAGAAGATGAGGTAAGGTCTTGACAGTTGCGTTTAATTTATACCTAAATGTCTACTGAATAAACACAAGTAGATATAGTATTTCCGATAAACCCCTTTTCAGTAACCCGTACTGGATTATTCGGGGATTATTCGGTCCAAATTACACTGACTTTTCACCGGTAACAACCTTTCTATTTTACTGTTTAGTTCACCAAAAGTATTCGATGGAACTATTAATATAGGCCGTCGTTGTCACGATCTCAATTGTAGCATACCCGTTATAACAAAATTGTTGCTCCACTCGTCCGCTACAGGCACAAGACCACACCCCTGCCTTTCTGCATCGTGCCGCCCTTATATTTCTAACCATACCACACTAGATTGAAAAGCAGAGAGCTAATCCTTGTGATTTGTGTCGCCTATATCGTTAAAAAGGGGTCCACTCAGCCGACGTAACGTTGAGAAAGATTTGGAAAGAAAGAGAACAACTAAGTTCACACAAAAGCTCATGGCATGCCTGTTGAAAACAAATCCTAGGATATATAAATTCACGATGTTTTGCGAATTATAATAAAAGGTACCATTAATGTGACCCCCTCCGAAAACTTGTTGTTAACGGAGTGAAAGGCGAAACAAATTTCCATGATTTGGTTTTAATGCCTTTTCAAGTAGAAGTAATCATTTCACCGGCGAACCGTCTTCCTTAAACAAAAATCCTTCCCCTTTGAGCTGACATTGCACTTCACAGCCCTGTCTTAATACCCCATTGTGCGAAACGTATTGCAGACCAATAGCTGATATATCGCCTTTATGGGAGCAATCTAGCGACAACACGAACAACTAGTGTGGAATAACTCTTGTACGAATTTCACAGAAATATTGTACAAATTAAATAGCCTGTCCAGGTTAATTGGAGGGATTTGTGTTCACTTGCTTCCGTAGACCTGCGCAAGTTGTCGCGAAGGTAAGCTGTTGGCCTCTGTCTCCCTGGAAGGTTGACTGTCACCCATATACTGTCGCGAAGTCTGCCAGACTAAAATGCTTTTTGCCGAAGCCCCCCGTCTTGGCAAAAGGAAGTTAGAAAGCACACGGTAATAAAGTATATAAAACATGATAAGCTATATATGTGAACGAAACAAGACGAATTAACTACATTGGTTATTGGAGCTGGCCCTTGCCATTGAGTAATCGTAATTTAGGCACTACCAGGCTGAACCGAGCCTGCACAGTTACCTTACTATCATCTGACATTTGCTTAGAGGACTGAGTTTTTGAATTTACCATTCTTTATTTTATGTTCTAACCATCGAACTACTGCTGCTTGTGTTCCCTCCTGCTGCTCGGATAGAGTGGTTATCGTAACCGTAAACACGCCTTTAGTATGTTAGTTGAGGCATGTTTTTTCCGACTTTAGATGAAGGCGAATGTGGGATATTATCAGAAACTCGTGCAACAAACGTCCGGCCGAAGTAACTCCATTGTCTCCGAAATTGAACGTGACCTTCATCGTTCCCTCCCCGAGCATCCGGCCTACCACACTGAGGAGGGCTTGGGCGCCCTGCGTCGCGTCCTCACAGCCTATGCTTACAGAAATCCCAATGTTGGTACGTGGTCGAGGTGTTTTCTGTTTCCCGTATCTTTCCTCTGCTGTTTAAGGAATATCATGTTGCTACAATTGCTGCAATAGTGATAACGACGACAAGGAAAAGGATCCTGATCCTGCTGACGATGGTCGGTTTGAAAATAGAAGCGGTAGTTAGAGTAGCTTCCCTATCTCATGAAACGTCACCCGGAATTT